CTATAACGTCACACAATCGTGAACTTTCTCCCATGTTCAAACACCTGTCCAGTTCATGACCGTGTAAGCTGGATAACATTTTCACATAGTGCACAAAAAGCTACACACTAGTGTTCTTTCAACCTTAGAGAGAGAGATAGAGACAGATAAACAGAGAGCGAGAGAGTCAAATAGAGAAAGAGACAAGGAGAGAGAGAGACATGGAGAGAGAGGGGTGCAATCTCTGACAACGTGGACTTCTGAAACATAATGTTCTTGTTGACTACAAAATGTCACACAGTCGTGAACTTTCTCCCATGTTCGAATACATGTGCAGTTCATGACCGTGTTGGCTGGATAAGATACGGTTCACATTGTGCACCAAAAGCTACACGGTAGTGGACTTCTTCCAACCTTAGAAAGACAGAGAGAGAGAGAGGGTGCAATCCACGACTGCGTGGAACATAATGTGTGCATTAGGCAATGTAAACATAAATCAACACCATTGTGGACTTCTGCCGTTGGAGAGCATACAATAAACGACCATGAGAACTTTTGAATATATGATGCACAAAAAGAGAGAGAGAGAGAGAGAGAGAGAGAGAGAGAGAGTTTATAGTTGTGCATCCTTTTGGAACATAGTCTTCGCCTCGTGTACAAAAAACCACGGGGTCATGGACTTCTTCCCACATTGGAGAGAGGATACAATCCACAATCGTGTGAGCTTTTGAATATATGGTTCACATTAAGTACAAAAAGCAACACAGTCGTGGACTTCTTCCCACCTTGGAGAGAGAGAGAGAGAGAGAGAGAGAGAGAGAGAGAGCACGGTTGTGGACTTCTTCCCACCTTGGAGAGAGANGAGAGAGAGAGAGAGAGAGAGAGAGAGAGAGAGAGCACGGTTGTGGACTTCTTCCCACCTTGGAGAGAGAGAGAGAGAGAGCACGGTCGTGGACTTCTTCCCACCTTGGAGAGAGAGAGAGAGAGAGAGAGAGAGAGAGCAGTCCACGGCTGCATGACCTTTTGTTGCATAGTTTTTCGCAATGTATACACAAAGAAACACGATCGGGGACTTCTTTCTACATTGGAGATAGGATACAGCCCACGACCGTGTGAGAATTTTAACAGATTGTAAACATTGTGCACAAAAACCTACACGGTCGTCGACTTCTTCCCGCTTGGAGAGAGAAAGAGAGAGAGAGAGAGAGATAGAGAGAGTGCAGTCCACTAGCGGTTAATGGAAGGCCAAAAATTCGGGGGTTTTCGCCGCGTTGCTACAAGCAATGTTGTCGAAACTTATGCGAACAAACTATGTAGGGTCATAATACGGACATAAAAAAACCAATCAGGCAAAAAAAAAATCAAACTCAAGAGCACTATAAATCCCTATTCGGAGTAGCTTTCGGCGTTCGCCAAAGCTTTTTTCGAGTCTGGTGTTTTTGCTAAGTTTTTGTTACTGCTTCAAATACGGCGAAACTGAATACAAATATACCCTAAAGCACATATATAGCAGGCAAAAAGAGAAACTGAGAAAATAGTAAAAAATCACGAAAATATGACAGTTTTGGTGAAAAATTCGCCAAAAATCGCCGAATTTTGGACCTTCCATTAACCGCCTCTCGTGCAGTCCAGTACCACACAACTATTTGGAAGCGAGGCTTCAGATTGTGTCAAAAATACCATGCCGTCATACCCCGCCTCCCGCCTGGGGGGGGGAGGGAGTGAGAGAGAGAGAGGGAGAAGACAAATAATTGAAAAAAAAATTTGCGCATCAAAAC